ATATTAATTATAAGGCAATATAAAACATTATAAAGGACTGCGGCGTATGATTATAAAACAACACTTAAAGTTTCACCGCATAAGTTTCTTTTCTGTGAAAAGAATATATACTTCATCCAAAAAAAAGTTAGAAATAGTAAATATTTCTCTTTGAAATAAATATTGATTTTTCACAGAAAAGAAACTTATGCGGTGAAAATTTAAGTGTTGTTTTATAATATAAAACATATAATCTATATAAAAGAAATGAAATAATCTAAGCACGAATATTTCCTATACACATAAACAAACTGATACTGTAAAACGACATTTGAAAACCATCCCGCATGTGTTCCTTATCAACGAAAAATCAAAATTTATTTCAAGGATAAATAACGATAAATTCTAACTTCTGGGATGAGGTATGAAAGGGTGAATTGTGAAGAGTAATGATAAACGGAAAAATAAAAGTGTCCAGGGATGGGAATCGAACCTACAGTGTTCCGCTTACTGGGCAGATGCCATGTCCACTTAGCTACCCTGGACATATTTTTCCGTTCGTAAATAATACATAAAGTAATTTATTGTACAATTTAATATAATGCGGCCTGTGATTGTAAAACGCCATTTGATAACCATCCCGCATAGTCTTTTTCGGCGATGAAAATATAAATATTTGTTTAGAATCGGGTTTCAAGCTTTCGGGCCCATATATATTAATTCAAAACACCTAGCAACCACCAGATAGAAAAACCTAGATATAAAATAATAAAAAATAAACTTCTCCCTGGATGATTTTAATTTACAAATGATTATTTATATGATACAAGATATTATAATTTTTGAAAAGTCTATTTATTGTAGCTACTGTGTGTAGACCAAGGAGTAGTGTTGGTAAAGGGTGTCTACTAAAAGCACCAGTGTAGACAAAGTGAATTTGCATGAACTACTCCTGGCTAAGGTAGTTCTGGAACTATTACTGAGAGAACTAGCAGCTGAAGTAAATTTTACTAGAACCAATGTCGATAACCGAATTTAAGAGATTTACAGCGAAATTAGATGTTGCCTTCTGAAATTCTACGAAAATGATTGTACTTAATGAGAGAATAAGCATCAAAACTACTGTCTGAAATGTATTTTCACACAAAGTACTGTGGTTTTGACCACAAGTTTTAACTTGATTAAGAAACTAGGTTTATTTATAGCAATTGTGGGCAATGGATGTTTGAGAACTACTTTTATCAACATTCTAACGACACGGATTTAAAAAAATATATATCGAAAAAAATAAAAAATATATAAATCAAAAACATATTCCTTATTAATATAGTTATTATGTCTTTTCATACAAAGTTATATGTAGAATTCTGATCATTAAGCATAACAAAGGCGATATATTTTCATTCTTTTGTATTTATATATTACTAGCCCAATATGTAATATATATGCAAATTTTCTTTAATATTTCTGCAATAAAAATGGCAATTATATTGTTTCTTCCGTAATTTTGTACACATCACAGTGTATTAACTGAAATAGGTTTTTACGTTGCAACTATATTGTATCCGACAATAGGGATTATTTTGAACTATATAAGAAGAAACACAGATCGGATAGAAGAGTTTCTTTATATGAGATGATGATCGTACAAGCTTTCGGATAAGACGTCCCTTCTACGGGTATAAAAAGCGTAGAAGGACGTCTTACCTTTCCAATTATTTTATTTCCAAAGCGCTATATCCCGCAAGGGATAGTTGCGCCAAACAAGGTGAAAAGATTATTTACATAAGTTATTTACATTATTCAATGCATGAAAACATTAGAGATCCAGATTTTGTAGAAAGTTTAGAATGTATTTACAAAATGAATTGAAATTTAAATATGATTTTTTTAACGGAAATCAAATCGTTAAGTTCACAAACAACTAGTTAATTCTATAATCTTGAAATGCTGGGCAATCGATCAGTAGATGTCTTGAAGTTTGTTCCTCAATACCACAAAAGCAACTTGAATCCTCCATTGCCTTTATTCTATTTTTAAAAAAAACTTTTGAAATTTCCGTGGTTTGTAACAAATTGAGTATTATAAAGATTTGGACGAAAGTATTTAAGGATTTCTTGGGGAAAAAAGCTTAAGAAAGCTTGTACCCTTATCCTCATATAAATAAGCTCTTCCTTACGAACTGCGTTTATACTTCTATGGATTACAGGGAGATTATCTTTGTCTTAATTTGAACTACAGTAGACGACAACAGCTATCCCCAATATATTCCAAATTTGTAAAAGCTAAATAGTAAACGGATATATATGTGGAAAATAAGGAAGTGTAGACAGACACGCTACCGAGAAATCCATGCCGAATCATAATTAATTGCGGCATCGAAAACGTCTTCAAGGCCGCGTAATGACATGTTACCCAGAGGTTTATCTGATCTAGACGTCGTAGACTCTCTGCATCTACTTAACCCGCTCTTCTTTCGTCCGACATTCTATTTCTGCGATACCTTTTAGACATCCTGTATCTACATATATTGCTATTCTTTTGACCATAGATCGTTTCTTGATCTACCAGACCTTATAGACATCCTGCATCTACTTAACCCGCTCTTCATACATTCTATTTCTTAAATACCTCTCAGACAACCTACATATATTGCTAATCCTTTGAACATAAATCGTTTCTTGATCTACCAGACATTGTAGACACCCTTCATCTACTTAACCCGCTCTTCATTCGTCCGACATTATATTGCTAGGATACCTCTTAGACATCCTGTATCTACACATGTTGTTCTTCCTTTGACCATAGATCGTTAGTTGATCTACACCAGACCTTGTAGACATCCTGCATCTACTTAACCCGCTCTTCTGTCAAACATTATTTATTACTTATCTACCACACATATATGCCATATTATACGCCTTGTATTCTAACTTGCAATCCAATTGTGTATTTGGTCTAGTATCAAAAAATATATAAAAGATTGTGGAGACTGAGAAGGGAGACGTCTAGACTGACTAGACAATCTACGAGTATTTCGGATCCAAAAGTTGACATCTATGTCACTCGTTCTGACAGGAACCTTCGAATACATAGGTTAAGACCGGCATTTAATTTTAACAAACAGAGAGGGATCCTAGGAGGCAGTCGGATCAGGCAGTTTGTCCATACAGAGTCATTCTAGTCACTCGGTGATATTATCTGACGTCTGAGGCGACAATATGACAAGTTGACCCCCTCCCGAACAAGAAGGATCTTGGGGGACAGTCGAATCAGGCAGTTTGTCCAGACAGAGTCACTCTAGTCACTCGGTGATATTAGCTGACGTCTGAGGCGACCATATGACAGGCTGACCTCCCTCCGGCTACACGATTGTGATGTTCTCCATTTTAAACTGCTACTTTACTTGGTGTTTCATTCAATCCTCTTTACAAATGATTGAATCAGGATCTCTTAACTCATTATAAAATCATCACAAATATGTAATAGGAAAATAGCCACTTTTTGTACATGTATGTAAATATGTTATGGAATTCTAACTATATTGACTTTTTTCTTAAATTTACAATCGTAGCCTGCTTTACAAGACATACATAGATCGTTTCTTGATCTACCAGGCCTTGTAGACATCCTTCATCTACCTAACCCGCTCTTCATACATTATATTTCTTAAATACCTCTTAAACAACTTATATCTATATATATTGCGAATACTGCGAATAAAGATCGTTTCTTGATCTACAACAGACATTGTAGACACTCTTCATCTACTTAACCCACTCTTCATTTGTCCTACATTCTATTTCTACGATACCTCACAGACACTCAATAGCTACAATCATTCAATCTACAATCACTATCTCTCTTGGCTTATATTACCAGAATATAGTCCAAACCTAACTTGAGGTAGATAAATCCTTGCAAAGAATAATGAATATAATCAGATAAAATTGCTGTTAAGAATGAAGTTTCCATACCAATTTCTACTATTGTGAAACATAATAAAGAGTACAATAGGGAGAAGAAGAAGATGTATCCGGAGGAATGTAAGAGGTAGAGGCTCTACATACATCGATCGTGACGCCCACAGCTTGGAGTATTGATCCTGTGTTTTGTCGTCAGGTCAAACCAACAGTTGGGTGGGTTGTTCCTCCACGCCAACCTGTGGATATACTTCAATTTATATCATATCTAATTTTAGATGTTTATACACCTTAGTCATATTTATGCTTTCTTTAGTCATCATACACATAGACAATTTGTCAATTAACATAATTTTAAAATTACAAAATATTTTCTCACAATGAGTTTCTTTTTATTTCAAAACGCTAGCTTTCAAGCGACAATCGCTCATTGCGAGAAAATATTTTGTAATTTTAAAACGTTTTTCACAATTTCATAATGAATAGAGATTTATAACATACTTTTACTGAAATCTTGTCAATATATTAAAAGAAAAAGTGAATTGTCTATATACTATTTTAAAGTAATAATTAGAAATATAACTTTAGGTAATCAAAATGCATTTTTTGAATTGAATAAAATATTTATTTGCCCATTCAACTTCGAAAGACATCATTCGTCTGTTATTGGAAATTGAAAGGTCTTTGATCGTTTCTACAGCTACTGCTAAATTTGAATCCAATATATGTCTTTTTATCACAGAAAGATGGGTTTATTTTGAACGAAAAATCGAAATTTATATAATATTTACGAACGGAAAAATATATCCAGGGTAGCCTAGTGTACAATGGCATCTGCCCGGTAAGCGGAACACTGTGGGTTCGATTCCCATTCCTGGACACTTTTATTTTTCCGTTTATCATTACTCTTCACAATTCATCTTTTCATACTTCACTCCTAAGGTTAGAAATAATCGTTTTTATCCTTAAAATAAATTTCGATTTTTCGTTCAAAATAAACACATGCGGTATAACTTTGAAATGTCGTTCTACAATCATAAGCCGCATTATATTGTATTATAAATCACTTTAAATAATATTTACGAACGGAAAAATATATCCAGGGTAGTCTAGTGGACATTGGAATCTGCCCGGTAAGCGGAATAATGTGGATTCGATTCCCATCCCTGGACACTTTTATTTTTCCATTTATCATTACTCTTCACAATTCATCCTTTCATATTTCATCCCCAAGGTTAGAATAATCGTTATTTTTCCTTAAAATAAATTTCGATTTTTCGTTCAAAAGACACACATGCGGGATAATTTTAAAATATCGTTCTACAATCATAGGCCGCATTATATTATATAAAAATACTTCAATTTATATATTATATCATATTTAACTTTAGGTTCCTTTACCCCTTAGTCATATTACTGCTTTCTTTACCCATTATACACATAGAAAATTTGACAATTAACATAATTTTAATGACATCTTGTCAATATATGAAAAGAAAGTGAGTTGTCTATACACTATTTAAAAATAAAGATTATATATATAACTTTAGGTAATAAAAAGGTATATTTTAGATTTAATAGAAGATTTATTTGCCTATTCAACTTCGAATGACACCATACTGCTGTTATTGGAAATTGAAAGGTCTCTGATCGTTTCTACAGCTACTGTTGAATTTGAATCCAATATATGTCTTTTTTTACATAAAGATTTAAATATGGATTGCTCTATATTCAGAACAAATATTTATATATATACTATGCTTCAATGAATATGTACATTGCGCCTCTGCCACCACTTTAGAGTTTGTGGAGAATCTCCAGCGGGTATTGACGCGTAGATGAACAAACTACATATCTACATTCTCGCTAAGATAAACAATTAGTTCCATATAAAGGCACGATATCTTACAACTACTCTAGCGATATGTTTCCAGTCTACGATAAAACTGGGCCAATAGCTTTGAAGATTTATAGCACAAAGGGCCGTGATGAAATGTTACAAATACTTGTTTTTAGCTTGAAAGCTATAGATTTCAGTTGTAACGAATAACGAAACATATAGCTCTCTCTATAACCAGTTTTATTCATGATATATCATGAAATTTGTGGAAGGTTATTATATTCTTAAAGATTTTTAAAACTGGGAAACTCTGTGCTTCACTTCCTTCAATAATTGACAATATGACCCAGAATAAGTATATTGCTACGGCGTTTTATGGTTTCCACAAGTCCATATCTCAGAAGAAGGCAAAGTGACACTCACTCCTCACTTTCTTACTGCTACTCTTTTTGTGTTGTTTTTCTTGCTTCCCTCTTTCTCTTTCTTGTTTTTTCTTCTGTATATTACGTTATTTCCTTTGTCTCACTGCTTTGTTCTTATGTATACCTCTGGTGAATCCTGTATAGGGTCAGTGACCCTGAATAAAGGCTTTTGTTGTTGTTGTTGTCTTAAAGATTTTTTCCCAATGAGTATCTTTGCTAAATTCATTTCTAAGATTCCACTCTTGATTGCCGTATATCTCTTTTAAAATTTCATTTCAACTTAGAGAGCTATGTCCCACTAGGGATACTTACACTATAAAGGTAAACAAAGCAGCATATATAAGCAGAATCGTCCAATACAGTTTTAGATCTCTAAGAAGCGGTCTAATAGATTAAATTGACGAAACCGCTGGGAGGATTCATTACTGATGAGCCAAACCCTTCCAATATTTATTCTATCTCTTGTTTATATGAGATTAGATAAGGTTATAATAAATATACACATAAAGATAATAAATAAGATTATATAATAATAAATATATGAATAACCCCGTTGAAGAGAGAGGGAGAGCGATTATCGCCTGAAAGCTTGCATTTAAACATAAACAAAAAGTCGGTGGACGAGTAGGTAACACCCTCGATTCCCGACAGTCATAAACCGGGATTGAATCCTACGTTAAGATTTTGTTTAATATGTGAATAAACTTCACATATTATTCATTGTTGCAAATATCATAAACTATTTTTATTTTATTTAAAAATTGCAGAATACACGCTATATCCACAAATCGGATATTTGCTTGTGAAATATATACATTTGAATGAAAGAAAAAATAGATAAACTAGGTTGCTCTTGTTGAGCGGTACTTAATAGGGTGATTTTGGAACTGAATTAAAAATAAAAATAAACTCATTATGAGAAAATAATTTTGTAGTTTTTAAACGTTTTTCACAATTTTATCTTGAATCGGAAATATAAGAATAAAATAAGAAAGAGCGAGATTTATTTATTTCAATTCAAAGTGCTATGTCCCCCTAGGGACGCTGTCATACATGTATGCCCTTACATTTGTCTATACATATTTATACAATAATTTACGGCCGTAAAGAATAGTCATAAGATATTAACAAAGAGAAAGAGAGAGAAAAAACGAGAACAGAGAACTTTGTACAAAAGAAATGAATGTCTGACAATATATCTACAAATAAGATAATAAATGAGCAGTTTCTTAAAAGATATTTGTTGCTATATAATTTCAAATATATCTTGTATTTGAAATATATCACAGACCTATAAGCTTATGTCCATAGTTCACTAAACACCCCTAAGCTGCTTTCCATAGAAAATACAGGGTATATTCCAAACCAATCCAATACAATAGTAGAGCAGTCTAGAGATTAATTTGGCGAAACCGCTGAGAGGGTTTACTACTGATGAGCCAAGCCCTCTCATTCAATAACTCATATTATTGCAGTAAGGTCTGTAGAGATAATATTTGATTAAATTTAATATACATTTCTTTACTATAAATGAAAATACTTGGATTTGTTACAATTAAATTATTGTCGATCCAAGAGAGAGCGAGATAAAGAGAGTTAGCACAATGAAATAACGACGGCTAAAGAAAAATACACCAACAACAAGTACCATTCATAAATTCACCTTTAGAAGCGTAGAAACAAGTTGTTAAGGACTCTAAAGTAAACGATCCATAAACACGTAGATTTGTTTCCATTCATCCTTTCTTTACTTATGCAAATTTGAAACAGGTTCTGGACCTGCCACCGCCCTTACAACCATTGTTGTAACTACTTCATTGTTAGCACTTCATTTATCATTGTTTAGATGATGGAATCCTGCGCCCGTTTTAGATTTAGAAAGGGAATTTATTTAGAAACAATCTTGTCTGGGTTTACTTTCCATAGAGCTCCCTGTAAAACAACTATTTGTATCATTACTTTCTTTATGATAATAATGATTATCGAACAATCGTAATAGGTACTTTTTATAATTGTTGTCTTCACGAATTTTTAAACCAATTTTTCCTGCGACATCAAAGAGTTTATTCTGTAGTGTTTAATATGTATAATTATAAAACAATATTTTGATCGAAATAATTGCAAAAAGCCATTTTTTTTAATAATGAAACCTTTTACAATTATTTCGGTTGATATATTGTTTTAAATGCATTGTAATTATTTCACAATCTATATATATTTATAAGAAAAATAAAAACATGAAGTGCAAAACTTTCTTTCAAAACGGAACAAACTTTCTACTGTTCTTACTGCGATAAAAATACCGAAAAGGCTTGGCTCAACATATTGGAGAAACGCTGGAAAGATTCACCACTGATAATCCAAGTCTTTTTCAATATTTTTCATCGCAGTAAGGACAGTATAGAAAGTTTATGTTGTTTGGAAAGAAGAATGGTTTTATTTATTATATAGGTGACGCGGTATAATCTTATTGTTCTCTCTCTGAGCCTTCTGTACCGGTGCCGTCTCTGCCTGCGCCTTCCTCGACCGCTGCTATACCAACAGAGGTATCTGCCAAAGAGACTCATTGCAGAATGCGCTAACCATCCAATCCACAACACCAAAGCTCCAAGAGAAACAGCCTCAACAGACCACTTTACAACAGGTAGAGGAGCTGTTCAAAGCTTGAATGCCAACACCATTCTAGAACCTCATTATTAAAGCTATTATAGGGAGGAGATAGCTGTTGTCTCCCCTTCTAACAGGGAGGACATCCTCGAGTACCTGACGCCTGAGCAGAGGTCTGTTCAGAAGCTATTCCTTGACATGGCAATAGTCGGGGAGAAGTCCGATCTACGTCTGTCTGACTTCAGGACGGAATGTGACATCATACCAGACGACCATCAGTGGGATTCCTCTGATTAAAATAATATTTAATTTTACTTTTGTATTCTCCAATTAACCCTATATAATCTTATATGTACGATTAATAAAAGTATATTCAAAATCTCAATCTCTCTCTCAATACGTATGATGTAATTATATTGCGTGAAGAAAATATTATATATAAACATTGAGAAAAATAATAGGTAAATAGAGTCTAAACTCTATGTACATTCTAAATATAAATCGCCTATAGAATGAAGAGAAGTATAGATAAAAAGAGAGATTATGTAAAATTATCTGTACAGAGATTGACAACAGAATAAAAACTAAGCGTCATCTATTGTCCGTCTCTGCAAAATTAGTGGACTCAGGTTGGTGACAATACCAGCAACCACAATGCCAGCTTTGACAATCTGAGAAGCGTCCACCTAGAGACCTTCGTTTGGGGCTATGGCCCTCTTCAGCCCAGGGCAGACTTTATTTTATCAGATCCACAAAGAATCAAATTAAATCAGTTTGCCAAATCTGTTGTTGTGGCTTTGTCACCGACCTAAGTCCTCTAGTTTGTGGAGTCGGTCAATAGATAGCGTTTAGTTTTTGCGTCTTTCTTAGTGAATTATTTTAAAGAAAGTATACTCACATCTCATATATATAGCGATATATTAATGGTTAGCAAAGAAGTATTTATTAAAAGCATAGAAGTGAAATTTAGGTATATATTGGATTATGAATATTGAGCATACAATCATTATAATCATATTTAAAGAAAGGTTTAATTAGAATTATCTAATTATTTTTTATATTCTACAATATTTCGGATACATTCCAGTATTTCCAATACACTATAATTACATTTCTCATAGGGGGGTTGAGTATAAAATATAAACCGTCGATTTTCACGAGCCAGGACCGGGGATCGAATCCCACTTTTAGACACTACTTTTTATGAATTAAAAAAAAAGTTGCTTCAATGGACTCCGATTCTTGTAAAAGTTAAACTCCGTCAGTGAGTGCAAGTAATCAAACGGAGCTCTGGCATACGTGT